TAAAAACGATCAGGTTTCGACCCTCGAACGTTTTTCTGAAGTGCTTGATAGCCATGTAAATAGCGAGTAGCTCTCGGTCGAATGTACTGTAGTTACGTTGAGTATCGGAGAACTTCTTCGAAAAATATCCAAGTGGTTGCCATTTCCCATTGCTGTATTGTTGGAGAACTGCTCCTGCTGAGAGATCGGATGCGTCGCTGAAGATAGCAAGGGTTGCTTCGTGTGATGGGTGAGCGAGTAAAGCTGCATTTTGGATCGCAATTTTACAATCTTCAAATGCCTTCGTGGCTTCATCGTTCCATTCGATTGACGTTTTATCTTTTTTCTTCGTGTTGTGAAGGTAGGCGTGAAGTGGTGCTTGGATTTCAGCGGCTTTAGGTATGTGTTCTCTGTAAAAATTTATCATCCCAAGAAAACGCCTTAGCTCTTCGATAGTTTTAGGTTTTGCATAATCGATGATTGCTCTGACTTTTTCGGCAGGCGGTTTTATTCCTTCCTTGCTGACGGTGAAACCAAGAAATTGAACTTCTTGCTGTCCAAATATGCATTTCGAAGGGTTGATTGTGATTCCGTTGTCTTCTAATCGCTGTCTTCTCTATGTCTTCATCGCGGACTCTTATTTGTTGGTAAGCTCGGTTGAGATCGATGGTGGAGAATATAGTCTTGTCTGATAGTTGATGAGTGAAATCCCTGACTCGCGGTATTGGGTAGCGGTCAGGAGTGGTAATAGAATTCAGTCTTCTGTAATCTCCACAAACTCGTAATTCTCCGTTCTTCTTCGGTACAATGTGAAGTGGTGATGACCAAGGGCTTTTGCTTGGACGGCATATTCCTTGCTCAATCATGTTTTCGAATTCCTTTCGAACTTGCTCGTATAGGTGTGGTGCGATTGGACGTGCACGACAATGAAGTGGTGGTCCATTGGTGTCGATGAAATGCTCAACGTCGTTCTTCGGTGTTAATTTCATTGAAGTTATTCTTGTGATACCAGGGTATTCTTCGAGGATCTTGTGATACGGTTGTTGCACATCTATGCTTCTTATTGTGGGCAGATTGGTTGCTTGTACAAAAGACTGAGATGCAAGATTGGTTTTCCCGTCGATGATTCTTCTATTTTTGATGTCGACGACCAACTGGTGATGTTGAAGAAAATCAGCACCGATGATTGGTTTGCTGACTTTAGCGACGATAAATCTCCATTTGAATGGTCGGCGTAGATTAAAATCAAGTTCCATTGTTTTTTCTCCATATGTAGGAATAACCGTATTGTTTGCTGCATAGAGTTGAAAATCTAGTGGCTTCAACTTCTGTCCTTGCTTCGGCGGTAACACTGAGATATTTGCTCCGGTGTCGATAAGGAAAGTGAGCTTGCTTTTTTTATCGGTGACGAAAAGACGGTAGGACTTTGCTGTTACGCTGGATCCCGTCGCATCGAGCGTACTAGTTAGTTTTCCGTATTCGTATTTTCATTTTTGAATGTACACGGTGCTGTGCATTTTCTTGCCTCGACCCCGAAACGTCGATGATAGTAGCAGTAAGGGGATCTTGATGTTGAGCTTATTCGACTTCTACTTGCAGAGCGGTTGCGACGAAAAGGTGATCTTCGGTGTTGCTGATTGCGCTGGTTGTACTGTTGCTGGTAAAAGGTATGATGCTGGGAAGCTTTGAGCGCGGCGACTTCGAATGATAGCTTCCGAATTTCTTCGAGAAGAAACTGGGTATCATTGGCCTTTGTTGAAGTGCCTTCGATGATCGATATGTGTGAGCTACTGCTGTTTTCGATCATCTTGTCCGCCAGGAGTGCCAGTTCGTCGAGCTTCGTCTGCGTGCTGAATGTTTCGCTGACTGCTATTACCGATCGAATATGTGGTGGTAGGTAGTTTACCCACATTAGCCGTAGTGTTGAATCCGGAACTTTATCTCGCGCCAAAGTACGCAGTTTGCGTAGGAGTTGTGTGGGTTTCTGGTCTCCAAGTTCTATTTCTGATAGAAGTTTTTGTAGCTGTCGACTGTCGGATTCTTCGTATGCGGAGATCAGACGATCCTTCAGTGAATTATACTGGTCGACTGCTGGTGGGTTGTACAACAGGTCCGCAATTTGTTCGATGTCTTGTTTCTCAAGTTGGGCTATCACCATCTGTGCTAATTGCGCTTGGCTCTTCTTTAAACCATTCGTTGCGGCTTCAAAACTGACGAACCAAAGTCGTGGTTTGTCTCTCCAAAACGGTGGTATTCTTAACGATAGAGATATACCGGCGATTTCTGGTTCCTTTACCGGGTTTGATGTATATGTGTTTGCCTCCTGCTCCATAATGACGGCTTGATTACACTGATTTTATATAAACTGAAGTCTTCCTTCTCGGTGTTCGTACGGGTTTCCTTCGCGGTGTTCGTGCAATAGTAGTGGTACGTCGCAGGGTGTTCCTTCTTGGTGTTCGTACCGGATCTTCCCCCTCGGTGTTCGTACGGGGTCACCACTGTAATAGTGGAGACGAACTGTCCACTATTAACAGACTCCGAGTGGTTTTCTTTAAGGTGGAGAAATGAAACTACTGTTTATGTTTATGAATGTACTGTCGAATGGGATTCGGAATGGAATATCTTTTGCATCAACCTTGCCTATATTTATATGGCTGGCTCACTATTGATTTGCCAATGGTAACAATTAATATTTTGCCTAGCCAATTATATTGCTTATTTTATGACCAATGAAAACTATTTAAAATATACAATTATCTACGTTTCGTTTCCCGGCGTGAGACTTGTTTGTTGTTCACGAAGCTACGTCGCTGGACCGGGCTATATAAGACATGCAGATCGGTGCGCACGCGTAGTCTGCTGGCGTCGGCGGTGTGGAATACAGCTCCGGAACAGCAAGAGGAAACGAACTGCGGCGTTGAAGAAACGGCTCACCATTGGTCGACGGATACGTGACGATAGCGGCGTGTGAAGTCGGTGTGGCGCTGAATGATATTTGCGGCTGCTTCTTGTTTCTTTATAAGAACGTCAAATTATCTATATACAGTCCGCAGTATCTCAGTAGCCAAGAATAATTAGGAAATAAAATGTTTTTTTATTTATTCTCGCCTTCCGCGTTATGGTAGCAGCGGAGTATATCTTATTTATTCCCGTTTAGGTTTGATTAATCTGGCTGCTACACCGGCTATCGTGGTATGCGTAATGCATTTTCCGCCTCCCTACGTATAGGGTAGCCCTTTAATTGCTTCGGGCGCAAAAAAAAAGCGACTAATGTCTCAGTAGCAACTGTACGGCGCACCGCAACACCATATTTTATGGAAGGCATATCACCTCTTCCTTCTTCTTAATAAAATAATCAATTCTAAACACCAGGTATACATTAAATATTTTATAGTAGATAATAAAATAACGGACACGAATATCTGCAACATTACTGTATCAAAGTAAAAGTTGACGTGTTCGAGTAAACATTTTCATAAAAGTCGGCGAAAGTATTCAAAATTACGAATTGAAATAATAAAGGTACCCAATAATTTTGCCCGACAGTGTACCTACCTCCCACCACAGTTTATCTGTGCTCACGACTCGTGTCGGCAACTATACGTTAAGCGCTCCGCTCATCTCCAGAGCCCTGAGCTACCATTGTTTTATGTATCTTTTAGGTTCCCCTCAGAAAGGAGTGGAAGTCATTGCCCAGCTCTGAAACATACATAAGCTGTAACTCTGTAAATCAGTTCGAATAATCAAAATTCACACTCATAAAATGTTAGCCTTAAGCTATCTTTATTGCGACGAAATTTGATATATTCAATCGTTTAATGATAAGTAGTGAGTACTTTTATTAATTGTACACCACAAGTGTACCCAAATGCAATAGGTGCCCACTTATTTCTTTTGTTACAATCAATTAGCCAAAGATATTTTATACGTCAATTATCAAGGATATCGCGACACATTCACACGCGATTCACTGAAGTTACTCATGCATCTAAGTTGTTAAAGTTAATCCTTTTTAACAAATTAGTTTTAGTAGGTATTGTTAACAGCATGGGAGTGGTTCATGTCTAGCAGCTATGGACTGTTTACGTGCCGAATGAATAGTAAGTTGGTAGTTGTTTATTGTTAGAATAGTCGTAAGTAGGTTATTATTATTAAATACGACTTTATTATCAAAACGTCTAAATCTTCTTTATTCATTCGTTTATAGTTTAACAGTATTAAAACAATGTATAATTTTATAATACATAAGAAATCGTTCTGCAGCAGATAGCTTGTAAGGCTTTTTGGATATGACGTAAGTATCCCTCACGACGCGATGCGTCGGGAATAGAGGGCGAGTTTGTTTTTATTTTATTTTTAAGTGTTACAAGGCTGATTCAACCTTAAGAAATCCTGTTATTCCTTTTATTTCAAAAAGTCAAGCTCCGATGTTTTGCATTTATTTCTTACTTTAATATGCCGGGAAGAAAGCTATTGTGTTTTAGTTTTTTTTTCGCCTTGTTTATATATAAATAATGGAAATGAGGATCTATACGTGCTTAAAACAGTTAGTCGTTGTTTAGCAAATCACCTAGTTTTTCGTACGATATCAACTTAAGTCTGAAGGTCGTAGGCGAAAGGCTGCTATCGATTTTTCACCCTTGCTTCATTTTGTTTTGTTTTCGAAAATGAAATTATAGATTTTTGTACATTCAGCATCACAACTAGGTACTTATGTTTTCATCTTATACGACTAAGAAATACTAAATTAATTTGTAACATAATATCCTTCATGTTTAAATTAAAGATTTTATAATTTGTGTATTCCGTCTCAAAACTACTTATGTTTTCATCTTACGAACTAAGTGCAGAAATAATAAATTATTTAGTGACATTATCCTTCGAGGCTGTAGTGCGATTTAACGACATAGACCAGCCTCCGATCGGTCGGTTGGAGCGAATTGAGGGTCGGTTCAATGGACAGATGCGGGGTCACAGAGAACGGGCCGTTTGGAGAGTCTAGGCTGAAGCTTGTGGCTCACCGGTGCGTCGTCGAACTCGAAGTCCGTGTCGGCGCGACGCTCAGGAGCCGCCAGCGCCAGGAGCGCAGCAGCAGCCGCCGCCCACAGCACGCCGCGCATCTCGCTCCCGCACTCGACCACTACCGATACACACGAGCAACTACGATCACCCGCGATACACACGAGCCACGCGACCGGACCGGATCGCGCGCGAGAGCTACTGCCGGTGCCGCCGCGCCGCGCCGGCTCCGCTCCTCCACTCCTACCCCGCCTCCCTCACCCGAAAACCTGCATGAGATGAGGGACCTCCTACACTCCCAGTCCTGCCTAATTGATTGTCTACAACACAAACACTCCCTCCGACCGAATTCGCTTAATAGATTTGTACAATGAATGGCAGTAAATATTTTTGCTGAGCAAAATTAGGCACAATATTCGTGTAGTATTGCTATGTTCCTTATTACATGTTTACTTTAAACATATGATATGATGTGTTATTTTATTTAATACTTTAGCTAAAATCAGTCCATAGAGTATATAAATTTTCATTACGTAAAATAAAACCGTATCTAGACCAGTAGGTTTATTGTAACAGGGACACAGAAAATAGATTAACAAGCGCTAAGCGTAAATACCTAGGTACAGTAAAGAAATTATCGCAACATAGGTAAACAGAAATATTACGGACTAGCAAATATAATAAAAATGTAATTTTTAACAGTAAATATGCATTAAGCTTCTACTAATCGTTATTACACTAATCGTGTATTACACAGGTATCATACTACCCGTTTTCTGAATTTTTTTACAGAACAAGAGTGGTAAATTAGCACACAGTCCACCTGATGGTAAGTGGATGCTGTGGCCCATAGACATCACATTTATCCTCGATTAAGAATCAAAATGTACTTATATGCGTTGTCATCCCTATAGACTAAGATAAAATGTCTCGTTGTCAGTAAAAAAGAGTCTCCGGATCTCTACACTCACCATACGAAACACAGCAGTATTAGGCTGCTATTTTACGCCGGTATTCTATGAGAGCGTGGCCTTTCCTCGGTTGAGCCTAGGTCTATCACGTATGAAAGGTTAGACATTCCGTATATTTGCCTAGACGTACAGAGTAGATAGGTAGAGACGGAACGACAAAATTAAAAAAAAAAATAGTTATTTAAATCATAATAGCATTCATTTGCGTTTTGATTCTTAATCGAGGATAAATGTAGATGTCTATGGGCCACAGCATTTACTTACCATCAGGTGGACTGTATGCTCGTTTGTCAACCTTATTCTATAAAAAACCGATTGTGATGAAAATTTACGAACAGATTTTTCTACGCAAATAAACGAAAAATTATTAAAATAATTGACTTTTGATTATCTTAATTCTAAGTACCGTCAAATTGATACATCCTATTCAGGCGAAATCGGGGCGGGTCGCCAATAAATAAATAAGACTATGGTAAATTAAACTGGTACTGGTATCGGCATTTTAAATTAATCATACAAATGAACAATTCAACTTTCTTTTGAATATTCAATTTTGGACAGTTAGTGATCAGTTGTCTTTCAAATAAACATGCAATTAAGTTCTGCTTGGGTGTATTGAGTACGCACTGCAGTTTAATCTGTGACGCTCTGCGCAGCACTACCCTCCCCTCTCGCACGCGATCGATTGCGTCCCGCCAGCCTGCGACTCACTGCCCTCCCACACTGTCTCCAGACACAGGCCCAACGTCTCCCGGCAGCCCAACTTATCTACATCAGAAAAAGAAAGGAATATCCCTCGCAACGTAACGGTAAATATTTGATAGCTCTTTGCTTCTGTATCTGAAAGCAAACGCTGCAATAATAAAAATGGCATGAATTCCCTTACAGTATAAAATTGCACCATACTTTTAGATAGTTGAGAAAACAACCAATTCGAGGGGAACTATGTTGTGTTGACCTTCGTCTGTAGCTCTCTATAACTGTGTGTATAGTATGGGCCAAGTAAGTAATCAGGCCACTATTTGTAATATGAATACTGACAAGTAAAATCAGACTACGTAATTAATACTGATTTAAACTACATTATTTATGACATCGTTTGATCATAGCCTTTATTTTAACCTATAGTTCATAAAAGATAGCTTGATCTTTGCGACAGCTGTCAGTAAAATCACGCCTATGAATTCCTGAATGTCTTAGTAGTACAGACAGTACTTGTCAATGTCATACTTTACGGGCATGCCGAGCTAATTAGTGCATGCCCATAAAGCCCATATGCTACCTTTTTTAAAGTATATAGGTTGTAGTATCCACTTACCATCAGGTGAACTGCCAAGTGGTATTTATCTTAATTGTTTTGGTACTTACTTGTGGTATAGCCACGCTGCAGCGATATTATGGTTACAACATGAATCGGTCGGCTCGACTGGGGTAGAACCAATCTCTCACAGAATACCAGCGTAAAATAGCAGCTTAATGCTGCTGTATTTCGTATGGTTAGTGTAGAGAAACGGAGACCCTCATCGATCAAATTGCAGGTGCTTTGTCACGGTCACCATCAGCATATGCGAAGGGTCCCGGGATCTCCATTTAGAACGCAACCGGGGCCCCTCCATCGCTTTGCTACACTAATAGCACGTCCCGGGGGCAGTACTTGCTGTCCCCAGCACCCTCGCAGTGCTACCACGATGTCTCGAGACCACTTCTGAGCCATCGTCCTCGTTTTCGTTCATGTTTCCTGGATTTGGAATTGGACCATAAATAATAATTAAAAGCTGAAGGCACTCCTAGTTAACACTGACATCGGGACGTCAGTTACCTCAGTTCCCCGTGACCATGGGAGCTGGAAAGCACCCGAAAAGTGGGGAATTAAAAATGAAATAAATTAAACGCGGTAAAATCCGCATTAATCTATCGCCTGAAGTTCTGGCAAAAGTGATGGAAAATGCCACTAAAAGGGCCCGTATGGTCATCAATGCTGGCGGCGGCCACTTGTGCGATATCATCTTTTCGAATTAAACATGAATAATCCACAAACAGAACCAAAGTTTTTCATTTGTAAAAAAAAATATAGTCAAAGAACATCGAATGATTATTTTTGCCTCACCCGTTAGTTAATTCTAAGACCATGGCGAGTTACCTTCCATTTCAAAACGTACAAACACCCCCATCGATATACCCCCAGTCACCGTGACGCCACTGAAGAAACTGTGTCCACATACGCAAGGCAAAGTAGCAGATCATATTCTTCTGTCTTCAGTATAATTTTCCGAAGAGTATGTATTATGTGATCTATCGTACTACAGCCTTTTCAGAAACCAGCTTCTTCGGGAGGCTGGAAGTCGAAGTCTGCGTGCGAGACAATACGTAATGACGCGGCTCACAAGAGAAATCGGTCGGTAGGCGACAACGCTCTGTTGAAGAACTACATAATATATCGATGTATACCTACCGTAATCGTCATGCAGATACCATTTCAAGAAGTATAGATTCTCGAGCGTCAAAATCGTTTAAAATACGATATTTTTGTCCGTTTTGGCCTATATTCAATTTACGAATCACATTGAGTATCAAGGAAGCAATATTTTTAATTATGCACCAATAATATTTATCATACAGAAGTTGAAAGCTAAATGGATAACTGCTATAATCATGATACTTGGCAAGCGGGTTGGTTGTGTATCTATTACTCCTTGATACATAAAGCAGGTCAGTAACGTAGGTATTACATCGGACCAAGTAGCTCATTCTTAAAAGATTGCTGCTCGTATATTCTCAGGCGTTCTTTCTAAGAGGCACAAAGAATACCAGCGTAAAGTAGTAGCTTAATGCTGCTGTGTTTCGTATGGTGAGTGTTCTCTACACCGGAGACCCTTTTTACTGGAAACGAGGCATTCCATCTCAGTCCTCACGGGTGACAAGGCATCTGCATTTTGATTCGTAATAGAGGATACATGTAATAGAGGATCTATGGACCACAGCAACCACTTACCATCAGGTGGACTGTTTGCTCGTATGTCATCCTATCCTATTAAAAAACGCACCTACAATTCCCCTGATGTTACAGTTGTTGTGGGCGGCGATAGTTATTTTCCGTTAGGTGAGCCGCATGCTCATTTACTCCCTCTTCTATAAAAAATAGATACTTATTCTGCCTTTACGACGGCTGAGGCCGTTATTAAATTTACTGGATGATAAGCGATACACTCTCGGTATTATTTCACTAGTAAAAGAGATTAAGATACATAATATTTCTTCTCCTATTACCTAATATGTGATGCTCCTTACAATAAAACTTCATATTCTTTACACTTTCAAGCCTTTCTCCCCTTTTCTGTCCACACACAGCAGTGAATGTGCCTCCACCTGAGGGCGAGATTTTTTAACTATTATTAATAATAAAAATATTAATTATTCCGCAATCTTCCCTTTCCCTTCTTTATTGTAATGGATTTCCGCAAAGTAACGCCTGATTCTATCAACTATTATTAAGGTGACAAATAAGTACACAGTCTACATGATGGTAAAGTGGATACAATGGCCCAAAGACATCGACATTTATCCTGTCCGTTGTTACCCCTGAGGACCAAGATGAACTTCCTGGATTTCAGTAAAAAGGGTCTGCCGTTGTCATACATATTTACACCCACCATATGAAAGACAGCAGCATTAATCTGCTATTTTACGCTGGTATTCTGTGACAGTATGGTCCTACACCGGTCGAGCCGAACCCATTCGTGCTACAGCTATAATTATAGCCGCAACGTGACTTTACCACGTCAAAAACGTCATTATTGTCACGCTTAGCGGTCCCGGTAACAGACTTCTCGAACTTTTGACGCTGCTTGTTGCTGATGTGAGTTTTTAGGGTTCCGTAAACAACAAGAAACACTTATAATTTCGCCATGCCCGTCCGTCCGCATGGTTGTAGATATTAATCATGTCTATAAAGCTGTGATATAGTCTAGACTCTAGAAAAACATTTTAAGTGGGTACCTTCTATACATGTGGTTTTTTTACCCATCTATTCCATCGTGTGGAGTGTCGTTGAAGTTTTTTTTTTGAAGATATATACAATAATATTGCGGATCCATTCGAAAATGCCGAACTGAAAGTTCACAGACTGGTGA